AAGTGGGTTTTTGGGCTCATTTTGACGTGTCATACCTCTGATTTTGGTTGCCTAAATTATGCCATGTTTGGTTGTATTAGGTGTAGTGTAACACCTCTTTGATGGCCTTGCATGCCTCATGATTTGCCCCTTCGTTTTAGCTTGTTTTGGCTTTGGTCATTGCATGTTTTAGGCTCACTTTAGCTTGATTTAGGACTGTTTTGGGTCATACTTGCCATATGCTCTTTGTTTTGTGTAGTTTTGGTTCAAGTCCCTCGACTAGTCTTAGGCTTCAGTCTTGAGCATGCCATGCTTAACTTGTTTATGTGATTTGGCATCACTCCTAGCTTCATTTCAGAGCATGTAATGTTGTCACATTTGCATGCTTTTCATTCCTTTTAAGTGTGCTTAAAGGTTGCCCTTTTGTGCTTAAAGTATTGGACCATTTAGCATGCATGTTTGTATGTGCATTTGCCCTCATGTCCTTAGCATTTTGGCCACTAATTTGGGCCTATTTGAGAGCTGCCCATTTTGGTTTAAGACCATCCCCGCATGTTGTTGCATGCTTACCTTGTATGTTGTCACATACTTGTTGCATATTTGGTGAGTTGCATGCTGTAGCATGCTAGTTTAATTGTGCCTCGTTGTGTACTTAATCCATGACATGTTGTTGCACACTTGGCCTATTAACATGTTGTTGCATGTTTAAGTGGTATTGCATTTGGTATGCATCTCTCGTTAAGTTACCTAACATGTTACATGCTTGCCCATCCTCACATGTTGTCACATGTTCACCTTGCATGCTTGAACGTCCATGTTGCATCTTGCATGCTTGTCTAGGTTGTATGGCATTTGGCATGCTTGTTACCTTAACATGATCATGTTGCATTAGTTTTGCTTGCATGCATCCCTTACCTCTTGATCAATCATGATAGAGGTTGGGGCCCCTTACGTGTTATGTGCATTTCATTCCATATTGATTTGCACACTTGGCACCTTGGGCCATCATGCATTGAAATACGTGATTGATGGCCCGAGGGTCGAGAATCATACTCCTCTAAGTCTCAAACATGCTGAGGAGGGTGGTGGTGCATAAATTGCTTTGAAAATGCATTGCCATGCTTTGTTTGTCCTCTGCTGCAGCAAAACAGGATTCTGCAGGAAGAGATGGCCGGTCGACCATCTTCAGTGCCGGCTGGCCATTAATTGTTAGCCGAGATTACCACAAACGGTCGATGACCAGTTCCCCATGGCCGGTGGCCTCACCTCTTGGTCAGTGACCCCCCACAACCCTCAGGGAGTAGTTTAGAAGTAGTTTAGAAGCAACTTTGAGACTTGCGCAATGTTCAGAAGTGCAAAACAGTGTAAACAGAGGCAGCATGAGTATGGCGATGGATTTCTGAGCGAAGCCGTACAAGCATGCATGCATCTCTCGCCTCGATGCCATTTCAGCGTTTTAATAACTTAGACTGGTTATTTATTTCGATTTGGCTGTGTAATTAATTAATTAGCTTGTTAGTTGATTAGTTAGTTGATTTGTATTATTTATTCGGTCCCTCCCTCGAGAGGGCGCAATTGTGTAATAAGCGTGCGTGTGTGTGATGCAAGTCTTCCAATCTAGCTCGCAGCATACCAGCAGCAACTTGCAAAAGCTTATAACAAAAAAGTCAATCCAAGAGAATTTCAGATTGGTGACCTTGTCCTAAGAAAAGTCGTCGGCAACAAGAAGGATCCCAGAAAGGGCAAACTTGGCCCAAATTGGGAAGGACCCTACAGAATCATCTCGGTGCTGGGCAATGGGGCATATCGACTTGAAGATACTGAGGGTAAAGAGTTGCCAAGACCTTGGAACACTTGTAATTTGAAAATTTTCTATCATTAGAATTTCTTTGCTCCTTTGCCATTTGCCGAAGTAAATAAATAAAGATTCAGTTCTCTTTTCAAGATACTTGACATTGTCTCTAGATTACATGCATAATGAGAACCCAAGTGGAATTCAAGTTCACATTAGGGGGCAGAGAGAAGAAGAATATGTTTAACACTTGTTGAAATTTGTGGACAATTTACAAGTTAAGTTAAACCGAAATCATTGCTTAACACTTATTGAAATTTGTGGACAATTTACAGGTTGAAGTTAAGCCGAAATCATTGTTTAACACTTGTTGAAATTTGTGGACAATTTACAAGTTAAGTTAAACCGAAATCATTACTTAACACTTGTTGAAATTTGTAGCAATTCACAAGTTGAAGTTAAGTCGAAATCATTGTTTAACACTTGTTGAAATTTATGGACAATTTACATGTTAAGTTAAACTGAAATCATTGCTTAACACTTTGAAATTTGTGGACAATTTACAAGTTGAAGTTAAGCCGAAATCATTGTTTAACACTTGTTGAAATTTGTGGACAATTTACAAGTTAAGTTAAACCGAAATCATTACATAACACTTGTTGAAATTTGTGGACAATTTACAAGTTGAAGTTAAGCCGAAATCATTGTTTAACACTTGTTGAAATATGTGGACAATTTACAAGTTAAGTTAAACAGAAATCATTGCTTAACACTTGTTGAAATTTGTGGACAATTTACAAGTTGAAGTTAAGCCGAAATCATTGTGGGTGTTTGTTTCAGCTTTTCAGAGCCAACTTATGGCTTTTAGCTTTAAAAAAGTTATTTTGGACTGTTTGGTTAAAGTTATTTCAAACAGTTTCTGATTCTAACAGCTTATTTTAACTCAAAAAAGCTGATTCTGAGAAGCTGCTCACCCCTTGCTTCTGATTATCAGCTTCTGCTGTGGACATGTTAATTTATGGTTATACTCTTAAATTTTTTTATTTTTTATTTTTTTAAAAATAGAAAAAGACTCAAATGGACTATAGATTATTATTATTATTATTTTTTTATGAGAAATGTAGACAAACAAAAAATAAAAATTAATTGAAAAAGCTATTTCACAGCTTATTTAACAAACACTACTCAGCAACTTAAATCTATAATCCAACAGCTACACCAAACAGATTAACAACTTCTGATTAAATCATAATCTATAATCTGTTAAGCTATAATCTATAAGTTGTTTTAACAGCAACACCAAACGGGGCCATTGTTTAACACTTGTTGAAATTTGTAGACAATTTACAAGTTAAGTTAAACCGAAATCATTGTTTACCACTTGTTGAAATTTGTGGACAATTACAAGTGAAGTTAAATCGAAATCATTGTTTAACACTTGTTGAAATTTGTGGACAATTTACAAGTTGAAGTTAAACCTAGATTATTATTTAAACACTTGTTGAAATTTGTAGCAATTTACAAGTTGAGTTAAACCAGTATGATGTTCAACACTTATTAAAAGTTTACAAGTTAAGTTAAACTAGGAAGTTTGTCTATCCGAGGTGTGTCACCCCGAGAAGATTGTACAAAGAAGGAAGAGTATGTGAAAGACATGCAGACTATTCTAAGTATAGAATCACGCAAAAGCAGTCAAGAAAAGACAAAGGTATAAGCACTCAGTAAAAGAAAGTTGTATTAGCATTCAACAAAAAGAAAGCACATCGGCCATACAAAGAGCTTACATTGTTTCAAAAACAAAGAAAAACAAAGTACAAAAGAAATGACATTGAAATTAAGATTCCTCAGCATCAGCAACAGGCTGGGTTTGGACCTCAGAAGGCTGTTGAGAAGCCACCTCTGTAACGCCCCACTACTTGCTGGCCCAAATAACGTGTGGGTCAACCAACAATACCCAAAAGCTTAAGTCCAAGTTATTTAGTAACGCGCCACTACTTGCTGGCCCAAATAACTTGGACTTAAGCTTTTGGGTATTGTTGGTTGACCCACAAGTTATTTGGGCCAGCAAGTAGTGGGGCGTTACAAATGGTATCAGAGCCGACCCATGCACACAACCATGTGGGCCACTTATTCTGGGCTGGCCACGAGCTTGTCGTGGTATTCTGATTGATTATAGACCCTCGCGAGGACGCGAGGATTTATAAGTGGGGGAGTTTGTAACACTCTGTCCCACATCGGAAGTTTGCATGGGTGATCTTGGGCATATATAGCACCACTACCTTGCTACTAAATAACTTGGACTTAAGCTTTTGGGTATTGTTGGTTGACCCACAAGTTATTTGGGCCAGCAAGTAGTGGGGCGTTACAACCTCGGCCACCTTTTCTGCCACAAGCTCAGCATTAATTTCTTGCAAAGTTTCGTCAAGGCTCTTATCGGCAATGATGACGTCGGCTGATGCCTTCTCAGAAGCAGCGTCTCTGGGAACCTCATCACCTTTCTCATCTTGAGTCAAGTCTAGGACTTGCTCATTCTGAGGAGGGGAGTTGACCCCAGCAGCATCTTTTGGCTTTCTTACCAAAATCTCCTCCTCAGATTCAGAGTCAGAGTCAGAGTCAATGCCAGATTGAGCTGGAGTTGGAGTTGGAGTTGGAGTTGGGGCTGGTGGGAATGGAAGAGGAATAAGGTCGGCATTTCTAAAGGGCGAGTCCTCGGGGACATTAAGCTTCTTTAGAAGAGACATCCAACCAAGGGAGAAACCCTTGTTGCATGCCTGCTTCACTTGAATTTCATATGCCTCCGTGACGTCGGCCATACCTTGAGCATATGCCTTCTCATCGGCGTCTTTGATTTCAGCCTCTTTGGTGGCCAAAGTTGCTTGAAGCTCCTTTTCGGCTTGGGCCATCTTCTCCTCGACCTCTTTTCTTTGGGACTCAGAAACCTTTCTGATGGCTTCGGCAGATTCAGCCTTCTCTTCGGCATTAGTTTGGGCTTTGATTGCAGCCTCGGCTTGGTCCTCCAACTTTTTCATCTTTGATTGTAAACTCTTGTTGGTTTTTTGAAGAGCAGAGAACTCCTTCTTCATCTCGGCCAACTTCTCTCGATTTTCGAAAGATTGAACAAAGAAAGAATGGGCATGCTGGATGGCCTGAAATTGAATAAAACAGAAGTTATTAGAAAATTTCTAAGTAAGAGAGAGAAAGAAAAAGGTGCCAGATGAAAGACACTTACTTGAACAGAACGTTGAAGCATCAAAGCGTAGTTTTCGTACTCGCTCAGCTCGGCGTTTCGATTAAGATCGCCAGGGAGGAGCAGAGCAGTACTGAGGGCTATGCCGATGTTGATGTCATCAGCACTGTCGTTAGCCATGGCTGGCTTATCTTCCAGAGTAATTTTTGGAGCCCAGGGGGCATCATTCTTTTTAGACCCCGAGGTGGTCGCAGAAGATGACCTCGACTTTTTAGATTTTGGAGATTCTAATGGCTGGGCTTCAGAGCGTCTCTTCCCATCAGAGGGTTGAGATTTGTTACTCTCAGCCAACTTAGATATTGGCAAAGTATCCACAGATTCAGTCTGAGTTACCTTAGCTTTTGGTTGAGCCTTCTTGATTCGTTTTGGCTTTGGAGGAGGCAGGGTTTGTGTTGGTTGTGCATCAACATCAGAAAAGATGCTGGCCAAGAGATCTTTTGCAATTGGTTTTGGGCTACCCATCTCGGCAGTAGAAACTGTTCGGCGTCGACGGCGACGTTGTGATATTGGAATCAAGTATGGAGCCGAGGTTGATAGCTGATCAGCTGGATCGGAAGTTGACCCTTGATTTGTCTGAGATGTGGACACAGTCTGTGGAGTTGTGGCAGAAGGTGGAGTGAGGCTTTTCTTCTTCCTCTTAGGGATGTCGGGCAGAGCTGACTTATAGGTTGGGATAAAGTTGAGAAGCAAAGGCGCCTTCCGTTTATGGATTGGAAGGTTCAGTATCTTCTTCAAATCTCTGCTGGGGAAGAAGGATTGGCAAAAGTTCTTTGGAGGCTGAGGAAGAACTGTAAAGATAGAACAATACAGACATTAGAACAGAATATTGAAAACTTTATGCAAGAAGATAAGAAAACTTATGAAGGGTGGCCCTTACCATCTCCTTCCCCAAGAACTGTTCGGCTTAAAGGATAAAGATGGAGGTCATCGTTTAGATGAAACTCCCAATTGCCTGAGACGATGAAGTAATCGTCTCCAGCGACTTTGTTGGAGTCTGGGAGGTCGGCTACGATTTTATATTCAGTGGATCTCGGCTTGAGGTAATAGACATAATCCGTGTCTTTTCTAAGGCAACACATGGTATAACAGTACTGGAAATCGGCAAGCGTAATCCTGGTATTCTCTTGTTTGACTAAAGCTATGGTACCAGTAATAACTCGATAAGAATTGATGGCGGGTTGCATTGGGTTCAACTTATAGAAGTGAAGAATTTGACGGAAAAAAGGGCCAAGTGGAAACTGAAGTCCACACTCAATAAAGGCAACCACATGGAAGGGCATGGAGTTATCTGTAGGCATGATGGAGTCATCATCCCCAGCCAACCTCAGATTGACATCGGCTGGGATTTCAAACTCTTGCCTAAAAAATTCTAGCTTGGAGGGGGTATCTACTTGATGTTTCCACATACCCATGATATCGGGATAACTAAAGGTATTGGATTTCATAAAGAAGATGTTTCAAAAAGGGTTATTGGGACCTCGGCAAAAACCTAGGTTTGAGCTGGTGCAGAAATTTGTAAGGGATGTTTTAGTTTTTTCCTAAATTGTGGGTTCTACAGACAAATCCCAAACCTAAGTCTATGGAAACAAAGACTGAAGGCACGAATCTGGAAAAGACACAAAAAAAAAAAAAAAACAGAAAACAAGAACGAGTTTCAAAAGCAAGAACAGAGATGGTCTATCAAGAGCATAAAGAATACAAGAAGTATAGGGCCAAGAACAGTGGCAAAAATACAGGGAAGTGATGAAACAGTGCGTGTGTTCAAGATATGGGCAAGGACAAATCGTGGAAAAAACACATTCAGATGTATGATTCACAAGATCGAATGTTTAAGCAAAGCAGTAATGGCAACAAGTTCAAGAAAAAAATTAAGAAATTGAAATAAGAAGGAATAGTGTATTACCAGAGGAAGAACGAAGCCGGTGTTAAACGTTGCCGAGGTCAGACGACGGTGACGGACCGGAGAATCAGCACGAACCTAGTTGAAGAAAGGTAACGCCGGTGGCTGCAGAACTTTGGAAGCTTGAGCAATGGAGGATTTTGAAGGGTAAAGCAAGAAAGAGAGAGAAAGAGCTTCAGACGCGAAAAGAGTAAAGTGAAAAGACAGGGGGAAAAAGAAATAAGCTTTGTCAAAAACTTGTAACAGCGGCAAAAGAGGGCAATCAATGCGCCTAGGAAGACGGCTTTGTCAAGCGGCGCACGCAGGCGTGAGACGGTTTTTAAGCACGTCGCAGGTACGAACCAATATAGGAAAGACACGTGTCATAAACGGTTGAATTATTGTATGACAGCTCATATGCGTGAAAGGGTTCTTGAAGTTCTTGTTCTTTAAAGACATGTCGGCCAACATAATGATCTCGGCTGAGATACTGTAAACCAACGTACTGGAAGGAATGAATGATATATGTTCCATCACCTCAAAATGCCGAGGTAATAGAACCTAGGGGGCAGTTGTGGGGATATATTTTTGAGTACCAACACGTGGCAAGGTGACACCGACGTGTTAGCCGAGGTGCCACGTGTCCTGGTCGATATGCCGAGGTCACCTCCGAAGATATCGGAATTCGAGATAAGCGGATAAGGGACAAGAGTCCTAAAATGATGGAAGACTTTAGCATGGATGAGGATAACACTCTTAGGAAGTTTATCTTTATCTCTAAGAGAGTCCAGGATAAGCACAGAACAAGAGTTCACTGAAGCTAGGCTTCTAGTGGGACAAGGATTGAGTTAATTATAAAAGAAAGGCACCCCTATGGGTCTAAGGTACGCAATTTGTATTCTGTCTAGTGAGTTAAGCACTTTTTGATTATCTTTGAGAGATATACTGACTTGATCGTCGGAGTGCCCCTGGGTGGACGAACCACCGCCGAAATCTTCTCTTCCTGTTACAGGCTAGCCAGATGTCGTCTATCAATGATTGAGTTAATTATAAAAGAAAGGCACCCCTATGGGTCTAAGATACGCAATTTGTATTCTGTCTAGTGAGTTAAGCACTTTTTGATTATCTTTGAGAGATATACTGACTTGATCGTCGGAGTGCCCCTGGGTGGACGAACCACCGCCGGAATCTTCTCTTCCTGTTACAGGTTAGCCAGATTTCGTCTATTCTGCTAGTGTTCTCCAGCTAAATACTGAGTTGGGCAGTGTGATCGGAAAATCACTCACACAAGGGGTAGTTGATGAGTTTTATTGGTGTTTTAATGGTGAATTTTTTTATTTTTTTTTAAGTTAGATTAAATTAGATTGACAATCAATTATCTTAAAATTTAGATCTACAAAACATTCTTTTTCTAAAAATATATAAAAATAAATAAATAAAGGCTGCCTTCTACAAAACATTCTTTTTTCTAAAAATATATAATAAAAAAAAAATAAAGGCTGTCTTCATTTTGCCTGTTTGGTGCAGCTTCAAAGCTGCTTATTTCAGCTTTCAGCTTAATTTAAGCTATTTTGATGTGTTTGATTTAGCTTAACAATGCAGCTTATAGCTTTTTGTAAGTCAGAAATCAGCTTATTCTTTAAGTAGGGTAGGAGATACTTAATTTATAAGTCAGAAATCAGCTTATGTTTATAGTTATAAGTTATAAGCTGTTAAAGTATAAGTTATAAGCACTTTCCCACAACTCTATCAAACATGGCCATTATAGTAGTAATGGTGGCCTCTGATTGCTGACTCTTTACTCTCTCTCTCTCTCTCTCTCTCTCTCTCGCAATTTGTATTTGCATGTGTTGCCTTTGATTGACAGATTCATCTCAACTTCCAATTTCTGATCTAATTTTTTTGAGCAAAATTATGATGTAAGCTCCGTTAGCCTGATTTGAGAAGTTAGTTATTTTAATAGATTATTTTAATTTTTAATTATTTTAATAAATTAAATTTTATTATTTAAAAAAGTAATTAAATTCTTTTATAATTAAATGTGATATTTGTAAAAAAAAAATTATTATAAATTTAATATAATATTTTATTTTATTAATATTAATTATTTTAACATATTTTATTTTTTAAAAAATTTTAACTAAAAAACAAAAAGTCAAAAAGCCTTGTGTCCCAAGAGTGAAGGGTAAGCATCCTTGAAAAAGTGCCCGGTCTAGGTTGGTTTAAAAAATATTACACGTCTTAAATTTTTTATTAAATAAATTATTAAAATTTGATTTGACATATATTAAAAAATATAAAAATTTAAAAAAATATTAAAAAAATAAAAAAAAATTATTATTATTTATCAAAAAAAATATAAAAAAAAAACTCCTTCACACACGCCAAGTACAAGTCATTGTCAGTATTGAAGTGATGGTCACACGAGTGCACAAAAAAATTTATACAGAATGGTGTTGTTCGGCCTGTGGGGCCATCACGGCTCCCGTTTTGATAATCTAAACCGTTGAATGTGTAGAACTCGTCGAGTACTATATGTCTGTAAACAATCATGTTGATCGGATATCGATAACTATATGATCAAACCAGTTTTGTAAACAAAAAATAGACGGTGAAGAAATTAATGGTTGACACAAAAACTAATATAATCAGATAGCTATCGATATCCAACCAACATGATTTTTTACAGGCATATAATACTCGACGAGTTCTACACATTATTCGGTTCCAATTATCAAAACGAGAACCGTGGTGACCTCCACGGACCGAACAACACCATCTAGTTCAATCTTGGACTGTAAGTAATCTGCTCCTATACTTGTTTCCTGCCCACCGTCTGGCTTCCTGAACAATCCAAGTCAGTAGGCAATTCATTATAGTAGGGGTAAAATGATAATTTTGCTATTTTATGTGATATTTTAATACATATTTTTTCGTAAAAAATAAAAAAGTTATTCCAAACGATCATATTTTTTTTTCTTTACTTTTTAGTCTAAAAAGTCAAAAAATACAATTATTTAAAATATCCCAAACAACCTCTAAGTTCGATCAAAATACAGTATGAGCTCTTAAAATATGACAGCCTTTATGATCTCATGAATTTCAACACCTACTTCGCGGGTTCTCACTTCATTGGATCCATTGTGTATTATGCACTCGTTTGGGAAGAAATGTTGGGTTAGATTTGGAGCTATTTTAGCGACAAAAAGATAAAATAGGCTTTTTAATCTAATAAAATAAA